GGGGGGCGCCGGGCGGGGGGGGGCCACCCCCCCGGCGCCCGGCCAGCAGCCCTCGGCCCCGCCATCGGCCCGCCGCCGGCACGGGACGGGCAGGGAGGGGACAAGGGGCGCAGGCCACCACCGCGGGGGCCCAGCGGGGCCCCCCGCCCCCCGGTCCCCCCGTACCTCGTATCCTTTCAGCGAGGGCCCCACCAGCACCACGGGCCGCATGGAGGGGACCACGTCGTAGGGCGGGATGTGCTGTGTCTGCAGGGGGGACACGGGGACACCTCAGCGCCCTGCGCTCCCACCCCCGGGGAGAAAGGGGTCAACGAGCCTATTCCAGTGAACCCCGCCACCCTGGAGCCCCCCAGCCCCATAACCGGGGGCAGAGACCCTGCCTGCAGCCCCCTCCCCATCTCCCCCTGCCCGGGGCACGGCCCTGCCCCGGGGACTCACCTGCTTCTGCTTCTGCTTGGCTTGGGGAGAGGAGAGAAGAGACAGAGGTTGGTGAGAGCAAAGGGGGACCCCCTGGGACCCCCCCGGGACCCCCGGACCGGGACCTGCCCTTACCTAAGGAGGGGGGAGGCGATCGCCGGTTCCCGCTGTCGCCGAGGCCTGAGGCGTTGCCAGCTCTCCTGGGGGAGGAGGGGGGTGAGCGAGCGTTTGGGGGTCCGGGCGTTCGGGGGGCTCCGCTCCTTACCTGGCTTTCTGCTCCTGCTTGAGCCTCATGGCTTCCAGGCGCTGGGGGCTGGGGATGAAGGCGATGTCCCCCCCCTCCTTCACTAGGCGCCCGATCCACCAGTCATTGCTGTATTTCTGGGCGAGCGCAGGGCAGGGGTGAGGCCGGGGAGGGGGTCCCTGGCCCCGCTCCCCCCCCAGCACCCCAACTCACCTCCTTGATGTGCAGGAAATCTTTGGCTTCGAAGTTGATGGCGGCTCCCTGCACCGGGCACTCCTCATCCAGCGCCCCGCAGTAGCTGACATTGGTGCGGACGGCAAAGGCGACCGGCTTGTGCTGGGGATGGC